TGTGATGTGGTGGTTGTATTTCTGAGCCTAAGACAAATTTCACTCAGGGACAATAGTGTACCTAACCTAAATGAAATGTTTAAATCCTTTCTTACTGGACAGGCAAAGTAGACTAAATGAACACTGCTCTGATGGCAAATAACTTCTTTTCTTGAACATCTGGCATAGCCATACTTATAATTAAAGTGAGAGAAACTCAAAATTCAAAAGATTATTTAATAAAATAAAGGGAAAAGCATGCATCGTTGTCAACTATAAGAAGTAGAGGGGATGTTAAATTAGGAAAATGGCATTGGACATGTTTGATTCTGGCTAAATATGCTATCCAACAAGGCTGCGAAATCTCAATCAAAATTTTTTCCATGAAGTTTCCTCTCAAGAGTCAGGGAAAGTTGGCATAACTTGTAGTGGAGTACACTTTATTTATCCCCTGGGAGGGAGATTTGCAAAAAGCAGCCTAATATCCTCAAGCATTGCAATACCCACACATTTTTGACCCATTTTGTTGATTTTAATACAAATAAAGGTTATTCAACTTTTTTTTTTTTTTGCCAAGAGCAATGTTTCACTAATATGATCAAATGAGGAGGTCATAAACACACTCTGTTTTTCCTCAATATCTCAGCAGGCCCTGTAAGAAAAAGGGAAACTTAAGGATGCTGGAGCAGAACAATGGATTTCTCCTTCTCTTTCATGCAAGGGATCATGGGAAACACAATTCAGCAACCCCCTCAGCTTATTGACTCCGCTAACATCAGACAGGAGGATGTCTATGAAGCCATCAGTGACCCAGGAGATGATGGAGGACAGCAAAACTTTGAGTCTCCTTTGGAGTCAGGCTTTCCTTACCCTGCTGAAGACCTCCCAGTCATTACAAACGGCTACCCGACAGGCGTAGGTACCTATGAGCAACAGGCCAAGTTTGCTTTGTACTCACAGTTCCCCAATGGCTCAGCTAATGGCTACGGAGCCATACGAAACTATGGGGATCACGGGTTGTTGCTTGGTGAGGGTACAGTATTGAGACCACCAGTGGTTCAGGAGAAGCCTCCAAGCCACATCTCACCTCCACCTCATCATCCTCCTCACCATCACCTGCAGCAGCAACACCAACACCAACACCATCCACATAACCCACCACTGTTACCTCACCACCATCACCCGCCTCCTGCCTCTCACCTAATGCCTCAAGTCTTGCCACCCCCTCCTCCATTGCTCTTGCCCTCTTCACCGCCCCTCCTGTCACCTCAAGAAAGCACCGTCTCCAACCCCGTTGCGCAATCCACCACCACTCCTAAAAAGACCAGCTCCCCAGAGATCAAAATAAAGATCATTAAGACCTACCAAAACGGCAGGGAGCTGTTCGAGTCCTCACTGTGCGGGGATCTGCTGCAAGAGTTTCAGGCCGGTGAGCCTTCCAGGAGAAGACACGAGCAGAAGAAGGAAAAGAGGAAAAAGAGAAGCAGTAGACATGGTGCTGGTCAAGAAGAGGAGAGCCAGCAGCCATGCAAAGGCGTGGAGGAGCGCTCAGGGGTGATTCACAACTCCGCACAACCCAAAGAAGGTCATGTTGCATTCAGCGAAGAGCAACCTTCATTAACCCTCAAAAGCCCCAAAGCAGAACTGAAGGAACAGAAAGTGAGTTTAATATTCTTGACATGTTTATAGTCCTTTTCACTTCAGAAGAAACCACTTTCTGATTGATGAGTTCTGATCTTCCAGTTCCTGTTCATCCAAGACCATCTTGTGTTCTTGTTTAGGTTGAAAAGCACTTTCCTTCAGTCATCACTAGCACTGGCTCTGGTCAAGAGTATGAGATCGGTGACTTGGTGTGGGCTAAGGTTGGGACGTATCCTTGGTGGCCATGCATGGTGTCATCAGACCCTCAGTCAAATGTTAATATACGTCTTAATAAAAGAGGTACTTCATCTACTACAAGTACATATGTTAATGGCTGGAATACTCTACACAACAGAACAGATTTTAAAACTCTAGGCACTAGTCACACACTTTTTGGCTTTGAAAATATTTATAGAGTGCAAACTGGCCATCATACACTAAATGACTGAGAATTACACACTACCAAACTTTCAAATTATTTCGAACACTTCAAAACCATGCAAAAACTCGTTGCTAGTAGTCCGCCATTCTGGTGGACAAATGAAAACAATCTGTTCATATGTTCTTGTTCATGTTTGGAATCAATAGTCTGAAAATCTGTCTTCAATTGCCTAAAATTTGCAGAATGGCTCTGATTTTCGGCAACTAACCTCAACTCACCTAGATCGGTGAACAATTTGGGAAAAAGTAGGGTTGTGGATTCCAGCCTCTAGTTGTTAATTCTACTAGTTTGCTTCAAATTTATGTTTCTAATAACATGCTTCCATGGTTCCTGGTAGGTGTTAAGGAATACCACGTGCAGTTCTTTGGGAGTGTCCCTGAGAGGGCCTGGATCCATGAGAAGAGAATTGTGGTGTACAAGGGTGAGAGCCAG